CTCCTGCCATTTTTTAAATGGATTCAGCTTCTTCATTTTGGGGCCTAAGGATCTGAAATTTGGTATGGAGGTACAGTGGGCAAATACCCTTAGGCGTTTTTTAAATTTTTGTGATACAGGCTTTTAGTAATGGTTTTATTTGAGTTTTTTGGCTGTATTATAGCAAATGTATTACTGTGTCAGTGGGCAGTGTTAACCACATTTGGCATGAGTCATCACAATGGAATGCAGGGCATCAACCATAGGCATGCAGCTTTCCTCTCTTCTTCTTGCTGATTGGCTGTTGGGATTTAACTTGATTAACACCTGCACAGACCATTTCCACCTGCACAGAGCATTTCTTGCTGATTGGCTGTTGGGATTTAACTTGATTAACACCTGCACAGACCATTTCCATACTGACAGTATGTCTGTATTCAAGTGTTTTGGTAGGTATTTCAAGCTTTCCTGCTCCAGCATTGGAATGCGGGGCATGAACGTTTTTTTTTTTGAAAATCAACAGTTTGCATTATGCAATTAAAAATCCTAACCAATAATGTAGGGAATAGCTAGCCAACTGTTGTAGTCTTAGTTGTATGTTACTTCATATTATAGTTATATCAATGTAAAGCATTGTTTTCCCTTGTGTTTCTCATTCTTTCCCTGCCATGTCGTAAAATGTGGTGAAGCCATCGCTGTATTTGCTCCAAAGCAAATATTGGCCTTTCTAGTTATAATTGCACTGTATTCCGTAAAATTGCACTGTATTCCGTAAAATTGCACTGTATTCCGTAAAGTTGCACTGTATACTAATACGACTGCACTGTATTCCGTAAAATTGCACTGTATACTCTGGCACCCCTGATTTCATTCTATTGGGATTGGGGCCTTAATTAAACACTTCATGTCAGAGATTTGCCCCAATTATCAATGGACACGCAGCGTGTTCTTCTGATGTTGAAAACTGACAAAATGTAGTAGTAGGATGCTACTTGAAACGTCTGACAGTTTTCAAAATCTATCCAATTGCTTGGGTAACGGTTTTCTTAAACACTTCATGTCATTACCTGCCAATATGCTGGATACGGCTAATCTCCAAGCAGATCTTTTGGTGGTCAAAGATAGTATCCAACACGCGGACAGTATCCAGCCGGCCGACAGTATCCGATGGGCCGGCTGTCAGAAAAAAAAGGGGCATAGAAAAAGGTCACAATCTTCCCATTCAACCTCTGCTTGGAGAGTAGGATACGGCAACAATTTATTCGTGCACACGCAGCGGGTCTTTTGTGGCCGTTGGTGTGTTTTTCTTTGCGCTCACGAACGTTAACGACTCTCAGTGTGACGGCATCAACAGATTGCCTGTAGGCATCACGACTCCGATCCCTGCCAACACGCGTGGTTACTAAATATAATGTTGTACATCAGCGCTGACATAACGTTATACACCTACGCAGATATAACGTTATAGGTCATGCCTTCAAATATCAGAGTTATCCACCAAGAATTGAGGTGTTCAAAAACTCATATTTCCCCAGAACTATCGTAGACTGGAACTCGTTGCCACGTGCCCTGCAGAGTTGGGGCATCATCAAAAGAAAGCTTTAAACAACTCCTGCAATCAAATGTGCAAAGGTTTAGTGTAACAAGTCGTTCGGTGTGATATAGCTAGCTGCCGCCGCGCCGCGTGCCTGTGAAGCTGGTGTGATACGCCGAATGGCGGTTATCATGACTGGCTATACTGATACAGATACGGCATCGACAGATTGCCTGGAGGCATCACGACTTCAAACGCGTGGTTACTAAATATAACGTTATACACCAGCGCTGATATAACGTTATCGGTCTCATTTATGTAACAAATCGTATTATTAGTAGCCTCCGTAGCAGGCTTATAGAATTGGGGGTTTGGTGGTCTTCGGCTGTTTTCTGATTTAGCCCAGTTCTATAAACGGGGGTAATTCAACCAGGCCGGCTATGTTGTCTATATGCAATCAGAAATGTTCATCAAAATACGTATGTTTCTGTCTGCCGAAATGACTGGATGATGTTGAGGCGAATTGGTAGCACGGAACAAAACGCTGTTGCTTGTCAACAGCGACGTGTTGCGGCTGACAGGGGTACTGCACGCATGATATATGTACCTTTTGTCCCTGTTTCACAGCTTTGTAGTTTCTGAATGCTATAATTCCTGCATTACATTTTCTACGTGTACTAAGTATTTGAGATATTAGTATTTCATGTATGGGATACCTGAAAATCAGATCAATGGATCTGAGGTATTCCCTGGTAAAATAAATAAACTTGAAACTTGAGATGTACCTTGCACTGTCAATTTCGTCCATAATGTCCCAAATTATGATACTGCGTAAAGTACCACTGTATATTGTACATAGAGCATACACACAGTCATCAGACCTTTAGATAGCCTTGTAACGTCTTTTTATCACAGATATTGCGTTTGTCAGGTTAGTAGCACAGCCCGTCTCCGTATTTACAATAACCTCCCTGTCTTGTATAATTTGTATAACCCACGCAAGAGCGCCCCCTGTTAACGCATTTTAACGAGCATTGTAGCCGCTCTTACTGTATATTGTCCAGTTATCAGGGAATATAAACCTTCAAGATTGCTTCCTGCTACTTCGGCAGCCCTGGCTGTATCTTATCCCTTTATACAGCCTAATAAAATAAATCAAATCCCTCTCAAATAGAACTAATGAAGAGCTGTATAGTCTACATGCAGTATTACCGGCAACTCTTCCATATACCAACCATTTATTGCACGAGAGTGTCACTTTTTATCTAAGTCTTCCTGATACGACAGAGCATACAGATGTGAATGGGTCTCATATTGCAGCATCTTGTTGACATCGTCAGCCCGAACACAAGAAAAAAAGGGCCGTTCACGGTCTGTGGTAATGTCCGGTCTGAAAGTTGTGATGATGAACCGACAATCTGGCAACCCAAGGACTTGGATAACCATGTTGTAAGCCGTGTAGTTTGCTCGATCCCTTCCCATTAGCAGCTAATATGATTAGCAATCCATGTACAGTTGATGGCCAGAAAATGGAGTATTGACCTCAGCATCTTCGTCGATGCCTCAATGAGCAACCTGACCACATTGCGTTTTAATCTCCAAGCAGATTCTAAGGTGGCAACTCAATATCCATTGGCCAAGCAGTGTCCAGTAGACACCAAAGATATGCTATTACACTGTTGTCCAATGGGTGGTGCCTTGCCACCGAAGAATCTGCTTGAAGATGGCTAATATAATGGAGATTACTTGTCCAAAGGATAAGAATGGTGCTTGTCCAATAGATGGTGTCTTGCCACCCTAGGATCTTCTTGGAGACTGCTAATGTAATGGACACTGCATGTTGTCCAATGGATGGTGTCTAGGCATCATTGGAATCTGCTTGTCTAATGCAATGTGCACTGCTTGTCCAGTGGATACTGCCTTGGCACCGTAGGATGTGCTTAGAAATGGCCAGTGGACACTCCTCTGACCAATGGATACTGCCTGGCCACCGTAGGATCTGCTTGGAGTTGGTTAATGCAATGGGCACTACTTGTCCAATGGATACTGCCTTGCAACCATAGGATCTGCTTTGAGATGACCAGTGGACACTCCTCTGGCCAATGGATACTGCCTTGCCACCGTAGGATCTGCTTAGAGATTTAATAATCGCATCCAGTTTATTCCGAGAGGCTGTGGCCCGCGCTATTTTGAGCTGGTGTACTTGGTGACGGCCTTGGTGCCCTCGCTGACTGCGTGCTTGGCCAGCTCGCCCGGCAGCAGGAGTCTGACGGCGGTCTGAATCTCGCGGCTGGTGATGGTGGACCGTTTGTTGTACTGCGCCAGGCGGGAAGCCTCCGAGGCGATCCGCTCGAAGATGTCGTTCACGAAAGAGTTCATGATGTTCATGGCCTTACTGGAGATGCCCGTGTCAGGGTGAACCTGGGAAGCAGAAAGAGCTAGATGAGAACGAAGATAAAGAAACTATGGGCGGTCGATTGCCTCTAAGGTCTCTGCACAAAGAGTCGAATTTGCATGGCTAAATAGACTGAATAGCAATAGAACAACGACTGCATATAGTAAGCATAGAAATCTATGTTATGATATGACTATCTAAGTGGACATGCTATTGCCATCGTGGACATGTGTCAGGATGAACCTACACAGATACAGTTAAAGAAAGACTGAAATTAATTTCAAAGCAGATTCTCTGGGGGCTATGTCACCACTGAATCTTCCATTTACATCTCTCCTCTCTCTTTCTAAAACAAGAGTATAAGAATTCGCCGCAAACCTATCTAGAGGTAGGAGTATAGTATAGCCTCTTGTATACAAAGGAAAATAAATCCAAGGACTTCCTGATCTAACTATATGTCCGTATACTGATAATTCATCTACAGACACACGCTAGCTACAGCTAAGCGATCATGAAAGACGTCTGAATGCATGTTGACTGCAGTGTGCCTTTCAGGATACGTTAGTCATAAGAATGTCTTTTGCGTACTGTCTACAATGTGCTGCATCCACATAGGAGGAAAATCAATATATGCCTGCAGTGTGTCAGAACGGATGGCGGATTCCATGCAAAAATCGTTACTGTGTACTGTCATTATTGTTCGTACTTGGTTTCTACTGCTGTGTTATATTTCGGTAGTCAAAACGAATCCATCAATAGACAGACAATAATGATGACATTAGCGAGTCCTGGACAAGAGAGTACAAGGTGGCAGACTTTTTATGTTTACATTCGCAGAAGGAAACATATTGTTTTGCTCTTTTCCTTCCTCTTTTCCTCCAAACGAATAAAATCAATGCCTAGACCTGGACTAGACGTCTGTCACCATGATAACTAGCATTGCACATTATGTAGCAGGACAGAGGTAGAGTGGCTGCTGGCCATATATTACATGTAAATGTGCTTGAGTAACAGAGCAGTAGTTTGTTAGACTAGACCAATTGTGAAGGTACACATTATGCATTTGCTTTGCAAATGTTACTTTTCTAGATTATCTACTAAATTCCAGCTGGAGTAATTCAGTTGAACCCTGAGCGTACCTGTTTCAAGACTTTGTAGATGTAGACTGAGTATGTCTCCTTCCTCTTCCGCTTTTTTCTCCTCTCCATGGACCCGGCCATCCTGGACTTTCCCGCCTTTTTCTCACCCTTCTTACTGATCCCCGGAGCCATGGCGCTGATTGGTCAGTTCCGGTTCAGGAGCACTGTGATTGGTCAGAATCAATTATTTTGTGTTACAATTGTTGATATGCATTATTGAAAAAAATGACTGTCAATTTTGGTCAGGGAGTGTAAAGGGCATTCCTGTTTCTCATTACCTTTTTATAAAGTTGAAATAGATAAATAAATGACAATACCTCATCGGAATTACCATCGAACACTGTCCCTTATCTCTGATATTAAGGTATATACTGTATACTTACTGTTAATCAAAATTTGCAAAATTTTCTCAAGTATTGGCTTTGATAAAGTGCCTCTTGACTTCCTGCAGTATATTAAATGATAAAACCGTATAATTTTGTCACTGAAACCGCCAGCAATGTGGATTAATTTGCGTACGTAGCTTGTAAAGCAAACACCAAGGACTACTAATGAAACAAAATGCCCCCATATTGAAACCGCAATAATGTGTATCATGTGTATTATTTGATTGTTGTGATTTGTCTTGATTATTATGTCATACCCTGCATCAATTCAGCCGTATAAAGGCTGCGACTGCACGGGTACAGTTTGGACAATAAAAACCATTAAAAAAAGAAAGTCTTTTCAAACTGGATAGATTTTTGATTAGCTGATTAAAAATCTATCCAGTGTGAAAAGACTAAATTACTTTCTTACGGTTACTACGTACCCTGGATGAGTAATCTTCAGCAATGCCTCCATATAGAACACCAAAAATTACCAACGATTACAATAATAATTCATAGCATTGCAGCATAGCAACACCATCATCACCAGTGTCATTATCAATCCCAACAGCCATATTGCAACTGCAATGGCGTCGGGTGATACTCACACACACAGGGCACGGCCCCTTCTCAAATTACCAATAAAAACAGAACAGAGCAGCAACCAAAGCAGATCCATTTTCAGGGCACTGTCCTCGGACCCACCTCTGAAAATTGACGAGGGAGGGGGGCACCTAGCCTCCGTAGCAGGCTTATAGAACTGGGGGGTTGGTGGTCTTCGGCTGTTTTCTGATTAGCCCAAATCTTTAACAAAACGGGGGTTAATTCAACCAGGCCGGCTATGTTGTCTATATGCAATCAGAAAATAGCACATAAAAGCTCCCAAAGACCCCGAAGACCCCCCAAACCCCCACTTTTTGGAATGCTATGGAGGCTAGGGGGCACCGTACAGCATGTGAACAATGAACAGCTCTGTGATATACTAGAAGATTCCGAAATAATTACGTCATGCGCCTACCTGTCAGCTGGTAGATGACAAGACGTCCGAACGGTTATCTTCTGTCGTCATTTACCTAAAAATAAACTCGAATTTGACCTTATGAACCTGACAGACCCGGGATGTGGCGTATTCAGATTTTGACACATGTGTGATACATCACCGGGTAGCTTAAATACTTGCCCGGACTGACAATTAGGTGAACGATGATGTAATAGTATAAGACCTAAGCATCACCGATGAATACAGGCCGACCCCGGCCCTGCATCAAATCTACGTCTACAAGTTGGAACCCTTCCAAGATCCAACTGGTCGGTAGGAAAATAGACGCCACCACAATCGTTCTGAGCCCAGAATTAAAACCAAAAGTAGAAGGTCTTCGATGATGTATAAGATGGTGATGATGTATAAGATGATAATAATAACCAGGTTTCTAGAACATAGACGACCCAGTTCTGTTGCATCTGAGGTGTCACAGCACATCCACATAGAGTCACCGGGACACACAGTGGATCTGGAGGGGGTCAGAATCTTGGATACCGAACAGGATTACTTCAAGAGAGGCATAAAAGAGGCCATATACATCAGGGCACTTCAACCATCGCTCAACCGGGACGGGGGGCGATATCGACTTCAGACAACCTTTGACCCTTTGCTGACGTCACACGTGGGAAAAATCACGTGTCCACAGCATTTGGGTCAGATAGCTGAGGAAGACTGAGTGATTCAGTCGAAAATTTCTGGAGAGTCAAATTTTGAGTTGGAGAACAGTTTTTCATAATGTAATTTACCAACTCAGATGAACTTTCATGCTGATGTATAAGATGATGTATAAGACCTAAGCATCACCGACAAACACACAGGCCTACCCCTGCATCAAATATACTACAACCTGGCACCCTTCCAACGAGTCGATAGGAAAATAGACGTCACCACAATCGTCCTCATATATGTAACAGTGGGGGGTTCATAGGCGCTACCAACTGACCCGGCCGATGGGTCTAGACCTTTTCGGCCGAGTGGTTAGAGCGTCGGAGTCTGAAGCTGGTACCCCCCCACTGTCACATATATATATAGTATGTCTAGGATGTAAAATATTTAACGTAGAAGGTCTTCGATTTTAATGATTGGAACTTCGAAAGCCATTAAAAAGAAATGCCGATTAACTAATAATGGATCAGGCTTTTATTGTGCCCTATTTGGGCCCCAGGTTGCCTCCCCCCAACCAATCGTCCCTCGTTGGCCTCTATTGGCTCTAGAAGTTTCGATCGTCATGCGTGACCCTCGTCATCGAACGTTGCCAAATACGTCCCGCCAGGGACAGAAATATCCGGGAAGCTACCAACTCATTCCAGGAACGTACTACGTGTGCGGTCTAAGGTACAGAGATGTCTCCACCTACATCTCCCGATCTGTAGCCTGGTATCCAGTCTTATCGTGGTTAGGACGGGTTTTCGTCGGGGCTGCTGAAGCTCTTCCCCGCCCGCCTCAGCTAGGTTCCTCGGTAGGGAGATTGATTAGCTCCACCACGATTGACTGGGGACCAGTCTGTTCAAATTTCCTCAGGACAGAGGCGGGCTGGGCAGTATGATGGGACGAATTGACTCTCGGAGTGCCAAACTCTATCACAGGTGTAACACCCCTACCGGGCGGTCTGTCGAGCTGGACGGGGGAAAACTGTTAGAGCCCCGAAGACAGCCTGCCCCAACCACGATAGACTGGATACCAGGCTAGCCTCAACCAGGCCTTTTTACGGGAATACGGATCGTAGAATTCGGTAAAAAAAAAGAGAGTACAATTGGCCAAGGGAGTCCGGCCGCGGGGAGGTAGTTTCTTTCTTAACTGCGCGGCCTAGTCAAACCTACAAGGCGGCCAAACTCCCCTGGCAATCATTCTCCTATATATAGCCAGCGTAGTTATTCTGGTAGAGACTAATACCAGGCTACCCGACCCGATGTGTGGGAAAGTTATGATATCGATGACGATGTGACCAGAATGCCGTATTTACCTTGCTGGTGCAGCTGGCACCACCACGGCGCCCCGTCCGCCTGTCACGTGACCCTCCGGCAGAGGTTGATAACCTCCACAGACAGCTTCAGCAGACAGGCAGAACCACGGGAAACATCACGAACTGTTCGGGAACATTCTGTTGTATCCAGATCCATTCTCTATCCAGAACCGCGCTTTATCCAGAACCATGCTCAGGCATGGTCGAAGCGTATCCAGAACCGTGTCTTATCCATAACCACGCTCAGGCACGGTTCTGAATGGTCGACGCGTATCCAGAACACACAAGGTTCTGGAACATTCTGCTGTATCCAGAACCGTGCTCTATCCAGAACCATGCTCTTGCACTGTTCTGGAAACTTCTGATGTATCCTGAACCGTGCTTTATCCAGAACCATGCTCTTGCACTGTTCTGGAACCTTCTGATGTATCCAGAACCATGCTTCATCCAGAACCATGCTCTGGCACTGTTCTGGAAACTTCTGTTGTATCCAGAACTGTGCTCAGACACGGTGCTTGATAGCCGACGCGTATCCAGAAATAGTCTGTGAAACACAAACTCTGCCGTCCGCGGCTTTAGTGACCCCTCCCCGCAGAGGGGGGGGGGGTGGATGTTGGGCGGCCGGATTTTGAGGCTAATCCAGAACCAAGCTCAGGCACGCTTCTGTTTGTTGACGCGTATCCAGAACCGTGCCCAGGCGTGGTTCTGGATGGTCAACGCGTATCCAGAGCCGTGGTCTGGATGGTCAATGCGTACCCAGAACCGTGCATGCCTGGGGTAAATCTACGTTCTTAGATACGCGGAGACTATTCAGAACCGTGCGTGCCTTGGATAAAGCATGGTCAAAAAAAAAACCTTTGAAGTTAGATACTAGGCATTTTCTTCTCATGCATATCTAATAATGTTAGAATTTTGATAATGTAGAAGAAATTATGATTAATCAAACTTAATCAAAATCCATTCTTGCTGTACTTGCCGACCAAAGGAATATGGGTGTGTTGCTTCAATGTTTATATAACTACAAAATTTATTCATGGCAACATGATAGGTGCAACAATATCATACTCTAGCAATTGCACAAATATCTACATATATACAATAACTCTTGGCAGCTTTCAAACCAACCAACTTTCAATTTTCCTGGCAGTGTAACCAATCTGGTTAACACTTATTATATTCTTAGGCCACACCAATTTAATTTGTTGGTTCTCGGATTCGCCTCTTCATTTTTTTCTGATTTGCAAAAAAAAAAAAAGAGATTCTGGTTCTGAAGCAACTAAAAAAATGCTCATATTTTGCCCCGAACAGTTGAGGAAATTCCTTTTCTTCCTAGTTGTTAATTTTTCCATCTATCAATGCAGTGGTTTGATTAAAAGTTCAAAATTTATACTTTAAATTTTAACCCAGCCTTTTTTGTTGACTTCATGGCTCATATTGTAGCATTTGGGGCTATAATAGGATGCCTAGACCTGTTTTTATTTTTATTTTTTTTCGCCCTGTCGCTTCATATTTTTTCTGAAAAAATCCGAGAACCAACAAATTAAATTGGTGTGGCCTAACAGCAATTCGATAAATCACATTATGAAGGCATAGTAGTTGCTATAAATACATTATTGGAAGTAACTAACGTCTTTTTGTACCTAAAAGATTCATGTATAACAAAAATACAATGTATTGAGCAACCTTGCTGTCAAATTCCTTGTTTAAACAATTTATATGACAACATGTTAGCATTTTTGGACATATACATGTACATAACAGGGAACCCATTATCCAACTCAAGTACTTCTTTTCTTTACAAATGTATGTTATTATTATTATGACTGGTTTATTCAGTAAAAAACATTTTGCAGCCCGGAGGCTGAATTGCATGTTTCCGTACATTGATCAGTGTCCACCTTAACATTATAATAACAAATTTAAAAACAACTTTCCCAATATCTACTATCCCAATAACTACTTAATATATAGAATTTCACTGTAAATTCTAATACCTGATATGCAAAGCTGCCTTTCTGGACTCATTTACTTGATTGTGGCAAAATGTTTAACGTTTTCTTCATTCATGAATAAAAAAAAATGGCGAGAGACCATTTTGAAGACCTCATATATATATGTACATGTGGAATAAAACGCTACTGATATAAATATACATGTATCAACAACAACAAAAAAACACATGCCAGATGCCCTGCACCTGGTAACTAAACTAACACACTTCATATCAAACAATAATATTCCATTAGACATTTGCCTGTGATTCATTTTGGGATATCAAAAATTTTATCTGCAACACAATTAGAATGAAATTTTACACTTATTTAGAGTAAGCTTTTTGATACAGAGCACACTTACTACAAAGACTATAGTATATCTTTTATGAAACTGTCAACCCAAAGATTTTTAAGTATCATTTATACACAACAATACTATCACCATTAGAATTTCAACCCAAGTTGTTTGAATTATGCTAGGTTTAAAAAATGATGGTACATGAGAAACTGTTTTTGTGATTGACCGCAGTATGTGTATGGCTATGCTCTTTTTCACAAGATGATCCTGTTTACAAACTTTTATTTCAATATGACAAGGACAAACTGAAACACAATCCCACTAGTCGTCATCTATTAACCACGTTGGAATGTTTTGAATTCACATCGCGGAAAGTCGACCACAGAATGTATTGAGGTAGCAGTTGTCAGGAAGGACACCTAGCAGATTGCACCGGAAGTGCAGACTACACTGGAGGTGATCCTTTGCTGTAGAACGGAGTACTATTAACTCCCTGTAGATGGAAACTGCTTGGGATCCTTTCTTCTTGGAAGACGGTGTACACATTTCTCCGCTTCTCATGGCTTCCATAAGGTACTGAGTATTGCTCTCTTGTTGTTCTTGCTGCACAGTGCCTTTTATGACTAGTATGGTCTATGCTAGTCTGGCAGATTTCACCACTGAACACTTCACCATAGCAAATGAAGTTGTCAGTAATACTGTGAGGCCCCCTAGCAGATGGTACAAGAACTGCAGTCTCCATTTCTTTCAGTAGTAGAAGATATTCCAGAAGATGGTAAAGAAAGAAAAACAGGCTGCATACACCACCAGGGACACCCACTCAATGAGGCCCCCTAGCAGATTGTATAAGAACTGCAGGATCGTCCTTCAGTAGTAGAAGGTATTCCAGAAGACGGTAAAAATGATACAGGCTGCATACACCACCAGGGACACCCACCACATGACTCTTTCATGAAGTTTCTGCTCGAAGTTTCTGAGAATCAGCACCACTCAGCGAGTCCTAGCAGATTGTATGCAAACTGCAGGTTCATCCTTTAGTAGTAAAAGATATTCCAGAACATGGTAAAAATGATACAGGCTGCATACACCACCAGGGACACCCACCACATGACCCACTCAGCGGGTCCCTCTAGCAGATCGTACAGGAACTGCAGACTCGTCTTTCAGCAGATCGTATGAGAACTCCAGGGTTCGTTTTTCAGTACTAGAAGATATTCCAGAAGACAGTAAAAATGATAGAGGCTGCATACACCACCAGGGAGACCCACCACATGACTCTCTCCTGAAGCTTCTGCTCAAAGTTCCTGAGGATCAGTACCATGCACTCAGCGAGTCCCCCTAGCAGATCATACAGGAACTGCAGAATTGCTCTTCAGTAGTAAAAGATATTCCAAAACACTGTAAAAATAATGCAGGCTGCATACACCACCAAAGACACCCACCACATCACTCTTTCGTGAAGTTTCTGCTCGAAGTTTCTGAGAATGAGCAACCCAACAGTCAAACCTGCGAGCAGACCAAACAAGTGAGCCAGGAAGCTGACTCTCGTGTCCTTCGGGTGGTCGTTGTACCTCCTCCAGATGGAAAATCCCACGTCTGCACTAGCTGGAGGAAAGAATTTAACAAAAAAAAATGTAATAAGCTCACATTGCAATTGTGATCAGGCCAGAGAGCTTTTACACATAATATCTTTATCACATACAGAATATGATTCAAAGTTTTCCTCCCTAGTCAGATTTAATGGTTAAAAGGAAACCAGATTGTAACTAAGATCAATAAAAGAAAAGTTGGTTGTCAATTATAATAATTTAATTAAATTGGTTGTAGTACTTGTAGGGAATTTTTTTTAAAGACATTGACTTTTCAACATGCATTTATTTACCCCAAAGGCTAATTTCAAAAACTTGACCAACATTGACATAGTCAAAACATCACTGCTGAACAATTGTAAGAATTTTTCTTTCCGCACTTTAGAAATACTTACTGATGATCAGTATAAGTCCAATCTTGGCTATGCCAAAGGTTTCTTGCATCTCTGTGTAGTTCTGTAACAATTCAAAGCAACATGAAGATATATGTACCATATCATAGGCAAAGTAAAAGCAGGCATAGTACATTCTTACTAGCTTGTAATCGAATCAAAGTACCGGTAAATACTTAGTCTGAAAAGTTAAGAATTCAATGTAGAACATTTAGCACTAGAAATAATGGAATTCCATATGAATTGACCAACAAGAAATCATATCTTCAGAGGATGGAATGAGGAAAACTTGACAGGAAGAATCCTTACCGTGAGCACATTGGCGAGGTGACCTGCCAGCAGTGCATAAACCCCTCCAGAGCCTCCTACCAGGTACACAGTCCTGTCTATCACTGATGTGCTCATGGAACCTACAAGAGAGGAAACAACAGGCAAGTCTGAGACTTGTGTGACTGTCTGTATGTAACATCTACTAAATTATATATATAACTCTACCAGCTCACATACATCTGCAATCAAGAAAAACTAGAACTAGAAAGGTTACTAAGATGCAAATGCAGTATGTTTTGCCTTCATATGGTCTAGCCTTACAAAATACTGCACTGTATTTGTAACTCAACACATTCATATATATGGTGACCAGCCCCTTGAACTCTTGTCCTGCCACTTGCTACATAGTGTAATGCAATTGTGGAATGCATCACACCACAGCAACATGCAACGAATATGGTACTAACTACGCCATCGCAAGGCAAAAAAGTCAAGGGTCTATGGCCTGGTTAAGACATCAAATTATTTGAAGATATTGTGTAAAAACTTCCAGCAGGACAAGGTTTAACATGAGAAATGGTGTTACTGACCAGCCAGAGCGCCGGCCAGGTACACTGCTCCGACCCTGAAGGTGCCGTGGATCATCTCCAGCGGGACTCCTAACAGCAGCTGTACTGCCAGGTTAAATACCAGGTGCTCTACACTGCAGTAAACAGATGGGTAAACGTTAGACATTCATGTACAACATTTAATCCTTCCCAACAGCAGCTGTACCGCAAGGTTAAACACCAGGTGCTCAACACTGTACAACACACAGGTAAGGTTAAACACCAGGTGCTCAACACTGTCGTAGACAATAGACAGGTGAAGGTTAGACATACAGGTAAAACATTATGTTATACAAAATACACTGTACATGAATATCATTGTGACAGCCATTCATTGACTGTATGACTAAGACTTTATTCACACGCATTGATTTTTGGAAGGATTTTTTTACATTGGCAGTACTGACAGGTTCTACTTTTACACTACTGCAGTGACACCTAGCTGCAGTGTGGAGTACTGCAGGTGACACCTAGCCGCAGTGTGAAGTACTGCAGCAGTGTGTAATACTACAGCAGTGACACCTAGCTGCAGTGTGCAGTACTGCAACAGTGACACCTCGCTGTAGTGTTAAGTACTGCAGCAGTGTGGAGCACTACAGCAGTGACACCTAGCTGCAGTGTGCAGTACTGCAGCAGTGACACCTAGCTACAGTGTGCAGTACTGCAACAGTGACACTTCGCTGTAGTGACACCTATCTGCAATGTAAAGTACTGCAACTGTGTGGGGTAATACAGCAGTGACACCTAGCTGCAGTATGCAGTATTGCAGCAGTGACAACAGTGACAGAAAGATTTGGAGAAAGATTAACACAAACACACAGCTCAGCCACCCAAAACAATACTTTCATACTGGGAAAAAAAAGAGAAAAAAAAACCCCGAGGCCCCCATCCTGCATGTAGGACGATGTATGTGAAGAATCTGAAGATCTGCTGTCCAACCGTTTGGAGAAACATACACACAAACACACAGCTCAGCCACCCAAAACAATACACCCATAACTGAGAATAAAACCTGAGACCCTCACCCTGCATGTAGGACGATGTAAGTGAAGAATCTGAAGATCTGCTCTCTCTTTGCCGGACTGTAGATGAAGGGGCTATTGACAGGCACCGGGCCGGACAACCAACCAGCAGGGGTGGACCGGTCCCACATAGCAGCATAGTACACATAGAAACCCAACTGGAACAACAGAAATATTAGAATGATACTGTAATTCACTTTTGGTGGCAAAATTTCACGGTCTGAGAAAAGTTGACATGTTCACAGTGGCAACAGGTGCAGGAAAAAGTAAGTCCAGGAATTATTTGTTATTTATGTTCTGTAATGATAAGTTCAAGGTACAGAAGTGACAGTGAAAACAGTGACGTTCAACATAACAGTACAGGGAAAAAATTAGTAGTTACAGTTACATTTTCATCTTTATATAGGGCTGTAACATCAGATACAGGTACACACAGGAGCAGCATAGTACACATAGAAATCTAACTTGAACAGACAACAGAAAACAGCACTTATTTCTCCACCAAGAAGGTTGCTTCCATTTTTGTTTGTGTGTGTGTGTGTGTGTGAGTGTGCGTGCATGTGTGTGCGTGCGTGCGTGTGACTTTTAACATAATAACTCAAGAAGCATTCGGAAGATTGGCTAGAAACTTGTTGGTATGTTTTTAAGTGTTCATGAGACCCAGAAATGATTAGATATTGGGCCCCTTGGTGGCTTGTTATGGTACTTCTGGTTTTGATATCTCGTGATCTGGATATGCTAGGATCACAAAGTTTGGATGGTAAACAGCTCTTTTGCTCAGGAAGAACAGCTGTATATAGTAGTGGATATAAACTCACCTGAACTAAACTGAGTATAATCATCAGCAGTGGTGGAGGAAAGCAGCTGTAGTAGTCGGAGTAAATTTTCCGGTCTGACTTTTCTGTGAGCACCTCCTTCGCGACTCTGTGCACGGACTTCTGGAAACATGTCTTGGGCTGGTTGTCGGGCGGGGCCAGCTGGTAACTACACACGTCGTTGTTGTTGTTGTTGTGGAAGTTTCTCTCCCTGGACAGGACCGCGGAACGGAAACTGTCCCTTCTCTTGTTGCTCATCTGGGTAAGGAGGAAACAGTAATGAATTGAATATAATATCATAAATAGTTTATTGCTTTAACATTACCCTTGCAATCGCAGCCTCTTATAGCGCCGAATTATATTATTGATGATGGGTCTATGATCACATAATACAGATATAACAAATTTGCTCCACACACTTTTGTGGAACTGTAGCAAGGGTCTGTGCGGCTGCCATTCGGCGCCACAAGGTGTACGACTTTCCCCAACCGAAGTTAGGTACCCATTTACACCTGGGTGGAGTGAGGAAAGTCGTGTTAAATGCCTTTCCCAAGGATACAACATTTGGACACTTGCATTTGGACACTTTTTAAATTGTCAGTATTCATTTGTGCGTTCCTTTAAATGTTTGATGTATTTTTGTCTTTTTAAACGTTTGCACTGTATCTTATGCACTATTTCCTATGTATATATGTAACGAATTCGAAGTGCCTGTATTCCATGTATTTGAGCCTTGGAAGACTAGCCCTGCAGGGCTAAAAGGTTTCGAAATAAATGAAATGAAGCAGTATAGTCAAAGCCTGGATAGAGAGTGAGTGAGTGAACGAAACTGGTGTTCAGATTAAAGGCAGTTACTTACAATGTTGACATGTCTCTGTGCCGTATCTAATATTTCCTGGATGTCTAACCTTTACCGTAGCAGTTTATCGGTTACTTACAATGTTGACAAACTGCTGAAAGCTGATGTTTCCCATGTCATCCTGCTGTAGTAGCTCGTACAAAACTGGTGTGTTCAGACCTGTGCATCTTACCCCTGCATCTTACACCAACAGTAGAAGCTCGTAGAAAACTACTATGTTCAGACTAAAGGTGGTTTACAATGTTTACTTACAATGTTAACAAACTGCTGGAAGCTGATGTTGCCCATGTCGTCCTGCTGTAGAACCTCCTGTACCAGATTGAGGTGGTGGGAGTCAATGTCTCCTGCCATGTCTCTGTGCTGCAGAACTCGCAGGAACCTCTGCACCGAAATAACGCCGTCACGGTCGAGATCATACTGCGAAGGGAATAAACATAACTAGGCTTAGTACCTTATTCGAATAGTGTTCCAAGTGCTATCGTAGAGTGGAACTCGTTGCCACCAAGCACAGTTGGGCATCATTGCTAGAAGGCTTTAAACAACTCCTGCAATAAAATGTGCAAAGATTGAGTGTAACAAGTTGTTCGGTGTGATATAGCTAGCTGCTGCCGCACCGCGTGCTTGCGAAGCTGGTGTTATGTGTTATGGCTAAGGTGCACAGCTCCAAATTTGGAGTAGTGCACTAAAGTACACATCATGCACCCAGTATGTCCAGCCATTGGGACAGATCTACCAGGGACATGTCACTTCCAAGTCTGCACATATGTGGGAGAGCCCCCTCACCAAACATTGACACTGACCATGGAAAACAGTTCATCTTGGCTTTGCAAACAGAACAAAGTTGACTTAACCAGGGCACAGTGGCCTTGGTGATGTTATTTCAGAGATAGTGCTGCAATATCTTGTCATACATGGCCAAAACACTTTTGTATCCCTCTATGTCACTAAAAAGGCATCCAATGTGATTTCAGAGCAGCAAAACTGGAAATAGATGTACACATACTGCTTCACATTAGTACATTTCAATCAGTATTTTATACATTAGGTATTTAAAACTGCAGAAACAAGCCCCAAGATGAGTCCTTTATTTTAGGGGTGGTACCCTAAAAATCAGCCAAGGGACCTTCCAGTATAATATAATACTATTTTCCTTCAGAATTTTGGGGATTTTTGCTCCATGAGGGTCAATATACATTGGGTAGTGTGGTTTCAACTCAGTATGTACATTTTGTACATAGGGCCAGTTTGAATTATTTTGCTTCATCCATATAGACAGACTTTCAATTGGGCAGAAGAACTGTCACTTTACCATCAAATATATTCAGTGGGCAAAAATTAATGATGTATTGTACTGAAAAGTTTTCAAACTTCCCGACAATGCCATGTGAAATGATGGGTAAATTGTTTGGTATGGGTGCCAAGATAGGCCTACGCTATTTAGGAAGACAGGAATTCATCTTATTAGCCATCTTCCTTATTAAGTCTTCTAAAGACGTGTGGGAAGACTTCCAAAATAGCTACTGAGGTCTCCAGGATGCCTTTCAGACGTTTTTTCCTTTGGTCTAATTCTGAACCTACTCAGAAATTCCTCTCTCTACAGTTGCCAAGAGATGAAAGACACAGAGAGTGACAGATGTAGAAGGAGACCTTTCAAAACCAAAGATAAGAAGTTGTTTACATGTATAAGACATTTACTTCTCACAGAAAATAGGCTTGAATTTTAAATGGGTGTACTGGTCATTTGCAAAATTTAATATATGTTATCAATTAGCATATTACTGTCAAGAGGGATAGGTAAAAAATTTATGTGCAAAATCAGAATCTGAATCACAATCCATTCATGTAAAATAAAAGATCTCTGAACAAATTTCAGTATCAATTAAGGAGACAATATTGTCTGAAACAACAAAGAAAGCCATACATCAGGTAATGTCCCAGATTTTGCATCACAATTTCACCAAGCCTGCCCTGTTTACCCTAGGCCTCCACCATGTCTTTGTACAGGCAAGGTACAGGCAAGTGGCAGGGGATAAGATGGGAGAAGTTGGCAAAGATACTTTATTAGCCGACAGGGTCTGTGGGTCCACTGTTAGAGTTTTATTTCTCCTTCTGAAACTGGCAAATGAAATCTTTGCTGGTCAAACTCCCCTGGTCAATTATTCTCCTCACTTATTTTGCTAAATTTTTCTGTTCTAGAACCTCCATAAGCTCTCAGTAAGATTTTCCCCTCTTGTGTTGGAACAAGGAGCTTAACCCTATAAGCTCCTTGGATGGAACAAAAGTTGTTAGTCTAGTGGAGACTACCATTGTCTGACTATTCCCTTATCTGTTATCTGTGCCTGAATCTCCAGGCTGGATGTTTAGCCTCCATAGCATGCCAAAAAACTGTGGGTCTTCAGGGTCTTTGGGAGCTTTTATGTGCTAATTTCTGATTGCATATAGACAACATAGCCGGCCTGGTTGAATTACCCCCGTTTTTAGAACTGGGCTAATCAGAGAACAGCCGAAGACCACCAAACCCCCAGTTCTATAAGCCTGCTACGGAGGCTAATCAGAAAACAGCCGAAGAGCACCAAACCCCCAGTTCTATAGGCCTGCTACGGAGGCTAATCAGAAAACAGCCGAAGACCACCAAACCCCCAGTTCTATAAGCCTGCTTCGGAGGCTAATCAGAAAACAGCTGAAGACCACCAAACCCCCAGGTCTATAAGCCCGCTACGGAGGCTAATCAGAAAACAGCCGAAGACCACCAAACCCCCAGTTCTATAAGCCTGCTTCGGAGGCTAATCAGAAAACAGCCGAAGACCAACAAACCCCCAGTTCTATAAGCCTGCTTCGGAGGCTAATCAGAAAACAGCCGAAGACCAACAAACCCCCAGTTCTATAAGCCTGCTACTGGATGTTGAGTCTATTGTCTGACTCTTCCCTCTAACATTTGATTCCCAGGCTAGGTGGGTGGATAGGAGGTCCCCATTTGCCATTGTGATACAGAGAGATGCTGGCATTGTTCTGGTAGCTACCAGGCACCGCGGATCGCTGGAAAAATAGTAGAAATTGGCCCAAATAAAGGAATAATGTAACAGGGGAGTTAGCGGGCCAGAGAAGATCCAATTCGCGACC